CAGAAGACGTGCAGAACAGTCGATATCCTTTGTGTGAACTGCTTGCTCTTGTCCCCGCTTTTGCTTGCTGGCCTGGAAAGCAGAGCCACGGGGGCTGGGCTGGTGCTCGCCTGCTCAGGGCAGAGGGGTGGTGGTGACCTGTTGTTGCTGGAGGATCTGCACTGGAAGGGTCAAGAGGCAGCGCCTGCCTTTGAAACGGAGGTAGCTTTGTCCAGCCTGGGAACCTGCTTTCTCTGCGGTGCATGGCTTCTCGCCTGGCTTTTTGAAGTAAAAAACACCATCATGTTTGCCACAATGAGCAAAGTGCTTTTCTCTGAGCCACAGGTGCCGCTTTCTTGAGTGCCGAGCTGCTCTTGAGTCTTGCCTCTCTTTGGATGTCAGCTCTGCCGAGTACGTGTCTTGCATGCAGCCCTCGCCTGCAACCTACTTCAGAGTATGGCACGGAGTGTGCCTTCTGGCAATGGCATCCCTTGCGCTCAGGAAGAAAACACCAGGTGCCCTCTGAGTTCTCTGTCTGCGCAGGAAGCTGCAGCCTTTCTCCTTAACCTCGGAAACATTAGCGTATGTGACACATGAAGATATCTGCAAGTGCTTCACAGGTGAGGAAATGGGGCTCCGTCATAAAGATGTAATGCTGCAGTCCTATCAGTCTGTCCCAGCCGCTCTCCTTCCTCCAGGATAGAGGCAGCAGCGGACCATGGGCTGCCCGACAGTGTTGAGTTAAATGTAGCACGAGCTCTGACACCGTCCTGGGTTTGTGTCCCACTGAGTTGTAGCTTGCTTGCCACCATCGGAGGGGGCAGGCGGTTTCTTTTACTTGTGTTTAGAGGAATGCAGCTGCTCTTCCTAAGGAAGTCTTTTTGCTGGGTGTCATGATGTGGGTGTATGTGTTACTTTAGAAGCTTTCGAGGGCTTGGGTAGGCAATGTTCTGATAATAGGAAGCAAATTTTATCACATGGTAGAAATCTGGGTGTCACCAGGAAAGCTGTAAAGTGACCCCTCCGCTGCATCGTGCCCTCTACCAACAAGAACGCAAGGAGGAGGTAGTGCAGAGCAGGACAGAAGGGAGTATGCTGCTTGCCGTGACCTCACTCCCGTGCATCCTGCCTTCCTAAAGCTGCGAGGTGCCTGTGTAAAAAGCCGTATGTTCTGTCTCGGCAGGGTAAAAGTGAAGAAAACCCACAGGAGTCTCTTGTTTCTTCTCTATTGCCAATTTTAACAACAGCTGTAGAACCAAAAAAAAAAAACCAAACAAGGAAATCCCCTTTGGCCAGTGTGCAGTACAGCACCCTGTGGTACATAAACTGCTCTTCTCAGCCGCAGCGGTGTGGAGTCAGTCTCAGCTCCTTTCTGCTTCGGTGGACACCTGACCTCTCCTGAACCCCGTGCAACCTGTGTCTGCTTGCCTTGCAGAAGAGGTGGAAGCTACTTAGCCTGACCTCCCCAGCCATGCCTAACCTCACTCTCGTCTGATGCTCTCCTCATCTCTTCCAAGCACTCTTCTCACCCCACGCTTCAATCAGCTCTTCTGTTTTCCCTCTTCGCCTTTGCACGCTTTCTGTGTTCACCGGGCTTTATACTGCTCGAGTTCCTGCTCGTAACTTGTGCATCACCACCTGCTTTGCTTCACTGTTTCTTCTGATTTAAGCTGGCCTTTTTGGGGGGCAGCGATTGTGTTTTCAGTTTGACAGTGCTTGGGGCCAGATAACTCATAATAGTCTGGAAGGGTTTGCTGGAGACCAGCAGACGGCTTATTGCCTGGTTGGTTGAGCATTTTGCATTTGATTGCACCTGTTTTTTGGAAACCCATTTGCGTCTGAAGTCAGACCTCACCGAAATGCACAGAGAAGATGAGATCTTGCTGAGGGCAGATCAGATTCCTCCCAAACCAGAGGCTTGATCCATGCTTTTCCGTTGTCTGTTCGGTGTGTGCCCTGTTTAGCTGTGTGAATATGCCTCGCTTCACTGGTTTTTTCCTCTCTGAAGCGTCTGAGCCTTGCAGAGGTTCTTTGTTGGACCCCTTGTGTTCTTGAACTGTGGTGCAGGCTGAATTTCAGCTCCTGTGCTGTTTCTTTTGGGTTTACTTTTTTTCTGAATGACTGCTATTGAATTTGCTTTCTCGAAGTGAGTTAGGGCTTGAAGATTTCCATGCCCGGACTCTTGTCAAATGTGGATTCATTATTTGGATTAATTAAAAAAAAAAGTCAGAATGTGTTAGCTTTTAGTGACCGGAAAACATAATTTTCCCAGTTGTTGCTGTGGTGCATTTTGCACTTGCAAAATCAAAAAGGAGGTGGATATACACTCTGCATGGTTTGGTAAAAGCATTTGGGACGTAGCTGTCAAGGGAGATAGAAAGGCAGCACCTGTGCTGTTGAAACTAACAGGTCCTAAAGCTTGAGCTTGTGTCTTTGGGCTTTAATTATGCATTTTTAGTGTCTTTTAACGATATTTTTCTTAAGTGAAGATTTGTTAAGGAATCCCATCTTACTGACAAATCCTGTGGAATTTTTGATCCCTGTATCTTTTGCTGATCTGACCTTTATTTCCCTGCCTGAAATTAAAGGCTGTGCTCTTCTGCTGTCCACACTCTCTCCTTGCCCTGGGGTTCTTCTGTGTTAATTACCAAATGAAGCTTGAGGCAGAATATTGGTGAAGTGTGAATACAAACCACAGCAAAGCTTAAACATTCAAAATGAAAGCTGCTAACTTGCTCAGTCTGAATACGTCTGGCACTCACAGCACTGGTATTTCTCTGTTCGTGTTTCTCTAAACCCAGATATGGAATGGAAGCTGCTCGCCTGTGACCGCTGTGTTATTAGGGGCACAGGTCTTGAGGAGCTGCAGAACTTGAAAAGGAACGATGCTGTCAACCTGGCCCCCAGCCTCACACGTGCTGGGCTCTGCACAGGGCCCAGTACAACCAACACCAGTCAGCTCTCTTGCCAGCAGGGACTGGGGGATGCTGGTTTTGAGTACTGGTACTCTAGCATGAGGCTGTCCTGCTGTTGGCAGCCTGGCTCCTGAGCCTGGTTCGACACCATCTCTCTGCTGGCAGTGCAGCTCTTTGGGTTGTGCGCTCTTTTGTTCATAATTCACATCAGAAATCTTGTGACAACAGGATGAAGGATCCTTCCCTTAGGATTCAGATATTCTTAAGAGTGAATTTAAGCCGGCCCTTCCTCGGGAAAGGAAGGTTAGTCCTGTTAAGGATGCTGCTAAAAAACTTTAGGGTTGCTTTGAGAGAAACTTTGCAGGTTCTTTGTGCCCTGGACAGTTGGCACACTGGGAGCTGTGCGATACGCTTAGCAGCTCTGATGGGTGTAAATGGCAATTCCCCATGGAAGGGAGCGCAGGAGATGGGGGCCTTTGAGGAGGGGCTCTTTGTCAGTGCTTAGTTATCATTAGTTTGTGCCCACTGAGTGCTGACCAGTCTGTTTTCACAGGAGACACCCTCCTTGCCATTCGAGCCCCATCAGGCACATGTTTGGAGGTTCCCATCCCTGAGGTGAGTGATGGATGCATGGGCTGAGAGTAAAAGTGTGTGTGTGTCGGGGCAGGGGTTGTTGCTGGATTGACCAGGCTGTGAGTTGGCAGTCAGGGGTTTGATGGAGTCAGAGGAACCGGCAAGCCAAGGAAGGCTCCAGTTGCTAAATAATTGCCAGGAAACTCTGTTGTTTGGAAGTGCATGAGTAACTGCAGGAGCACTGGGAGAGAGGATAGTCCTGGTAGCCAGGTGAATTTTGTGTGGAACCATGCTGAGCTGTCCAGACAGCATGTCTTGCCTCTGAGAAATTCCCTTTCTGTTTGAAAAGGACATTTAATGTATGGTTGTTTTGCTTTTGACTTTTCTTAGGGCCTAAATGGGCAGAAGAAATATCAGATCCATCTGAAGAGCACAAGCGGTCCCATCGATGTTCTTTTAGTAAACAAAGATGCTTGGAGCTCTCCTCCTGTCGTACTACCTGTTCCTCCCCCTGAAGACCTCATTCAGTGCCAGGCAGTTGTACCCTTGAAACCACAGATCCCACCGCTCGCCCACTTCCAGGAGGCATCCGTTCCCAACAGCACCCAACCCTCTACACCGACACCTACCAGCACTCAGGACCACAGCCCTCCAGCGCATAAAGCCGCAAGTGCAGGTGAGAGGGGGCTTACAGGAGGCAGAAACGTGAGTGGCTGACAAGGGAGACTACGTGCATTCCTTGGCCTGGTGGGGGCTGGCACTGCTGGTCGTGCAGCACTGCCAGCTTCTGGCAAAGGGGGCACCTCTGCCTTTGCTGCAGCTTTTTCTTTTGTCTTGATTAGTGGGACTGGCTGTGTTAATGGCAATAAGACACTTGGCTTGAGGGGGTAGTGCCAGCCCATCGGAGCAGTGGTGCGGGAGAGACTGACCACACGGATACATTGATTAGCAGAAGTTTGTAAAAGGGTCTTTTCTGAGTCTCAAGTTCAACTTTGTTTGGAAAAAAGACTGTCAAAAATACTAGATTAGGAGGGTTGTGGCTTTGTCCAGCCAAATTTTGAAAGCCTCCAACAGTGGAGATCCTGGCTTCCTTGGCGAGTTCTCCCAGGGCTGCAGCACCTGCTCAGTGAATTCCTTTTTCCTGATCCTTTGAGCTGCATCTTGTGCCTGTTGTGCAGGTTACATTGGCACCACTGAGAAGTTCTTGATTTTTATAACTGCCTTTCGGGTAGCTGCAAGCTGCTGTTAGATTGCCCTGAGACTTCTCTTTGCCTGACTGAACGAGCCCAGCTCCCTCCACCCCTCCTTGTAGGCCACTTGCCCTGGACCCCTGACCAACTTGGTAGCCTTTTGCTGGATCTGCTCCACATCTTTCTTGAACTGGAGGATGGCCAAAGCTGGACACAGTGTTCCAAGTGCAGCCTTAGCCTCAAGCAGGAGGATAATAACTTCCCCCAGTGTGCTGGCCACGCTTCTCCGGGTGCAGCTTACTACCTGGCTTGTGTTAATTGCTGTGAGAGCACATTCTTGGCTTATGGCCTGGCACCACCACGACTGCTCTCCAGCAGAGCTGCAGCAGGACCTGGGAGCTTTTATGGGTGGAAGCAAGAAGCTTTCTTCCTTTCTTCCTAAGCAGCTGTCTGTGCTTGGCCAGCATTGCCAGTGAGGGCTGAGCCTGCGCTGCAGCTGCTTGCTTTGAGGCTGGTGGGAGATGATGTTCCTGTGTGTGTCTGTGGCTCTTTCCAGAATGCGGTGTCTCAGCGGCAGAGTCCAAGAGCAGCGGCAGTGACTTTGAGCCCCTCAGCAACGCGTCCGCACCAGCCAGCCAGCCGGCTGGGTTAGATACCCAGCCACTGCAGTCCTCTGCCTCGCTGGACAGCAGCTCTGTCCTACCCAGCCCCTCTACCTCCTTCGAGCCGATCAAGCCCGATCCCACAGGAAGTGAGTATGCCACAGGAACCCTCGTTTCATGCCTTGCTCCAAAAGCAAGCCGTTTAGGGCGAGGGAAAGGCTGCTGGCCCTGGAGGAAGGAGCTGAGCTCCATTCTGCCTCAGCTGTCAGCCAGGCTCTGCGAGGGATGAGTAGGCATTTCCCTGTGAGGGTGCTGGGGAGCCTGGTGAGAAGGTGATTGTGTCACATCTTGTGTCCTGACGCCTTCTGTGACACCGGTACTAGAAAACCTGCAAGCGACACTCGCATGACACACGTCTCTGCTGTTATAGGTAGGATTATTCCCTTTCAGTCCCTTCTGTAGCACTAGGTCCAATTTTTGAGCCTGTGTGAAGCTATAGAATTCGCAGCCATCACCGAGAGCACCTTTGTAACTCATGGGGAGTTTTCCTTTATTAGGAGGGCTCTTGTCCCTGTTTTCTTCCTTTACTTGGGAATACTTCATCTGTCTTTAGCAATCTTGTGGTGTTAATGATCTCACAGTGTATATTTGGGGAGCTCCTTGATGTGCTTGGTGAGGTGAAATGGGCTTTAAAAAAGGAACTTTTGGGCTTTATGCCAGAAAATGGCAGGCTGGCCCAAGGAGAGAGAAGCATCCTCTGGGTAAGACGCACTCTTTAATGTTTTGAAGCCTGCCTTCACTGCAGAAGCACTCTGGGTTATGGTTAGAAGAGGAAATCTTGCTCAAATTAGCTCACGCAGTGCTTTTTTTCCTGCTTCTGCTGCCAGCATGTCTGAGAGAAGCGTGAACTGTCTGTCTTCATCTTGGAGCAGTCTTGATTGTGGAATTAGGCCTTTGGTGTGCAGTATAGCTTGCCATAACCCAGTGGGCCTGTGCTGACTCTAAAGGCATGCCCTCATCCGGCATGAGATAAATCGAGGGGGTGTACGGAAGCTGATGCCACGTGAGGCTTACATACAGGCAATTACACTAGAGCTGCTGACCATGATAACATGTTCGTGTCCCAGGGCTCCTACAGATCTAAAGTAGTCAAGCTTAAGTATTTAATTGCTTATAATTTCAGCAGAACTGTGTGACATGGGGTGTGGGAGCAGAATTTCTGGATGGCATAGGCTGATTCGGGTGCATAAAGAGTGCAGTAGGACAGTAGGTGATTATCCTGTTGAGCACTTCAGACTTTTCATGTAACGATGCAAACCATTTGGTTTGTTTTATTTGCAGTACTGGAACTTCCCAAAGAGCTGTCGGAGATGTTTGATCCAACAAGAGGTATGTTCACTCCCTGACCACGCCTTTGTTCCCACAGAAGTGGGATAGTTGGTTTTATTTGTTGCCTTTTGGATTCTTTTCGGGATGTGGTTTTCTAAGGTGCTTGTGGTCGTTGGTGGCTGCTAGCTCTGTACTTGTAGTTAGGCACTCTTAAAATTACTGGTTTCTGTCTGTATTTTTCTGTCTTCGTGTTGCCAGCAACCTCTGTAAAGAGTTTGCTCTCTAGTGTGCAGATGTGGGCTTTTCCTTCCCCATGCCAATGCTAATCTGTGCTCTGGCTTCCCACGCTCCTCCAGCTTGTCTGCACACAAGAAAAATCCCTGCTAGTCCTGTTTGAACTGTAGCCTGCCCGAGGCTAAGCCAAGCCAATCATCTGGGGAGATAGGTCTTCTCTCTTCCAAATATCCCCCTGTGGGTTTGGGGGTGCTAGTCATTTTGGAGTGGTAGGGGAGGGGGTGCTAGTACTTGTGTTAGGGGTTCTGCCTCTGCCCAAGGAATGGCTGGGCATTGCTGCCTAATGGTGGGACGGACTCTGGACTAAGGGCAGGAATGTGATCTAGCATAACCCTAAACCGGGAAACTCCTTTTATCTGCACGTTTATTTCCCTTCAGTGCTGGCAGAATACTTTCTAGCCCAGCAGCTGGGCAGGGCTGAGTACAGACACACACTTTTGTGGTGCAGCAACATGTACAACAACAGTGCCTAGTTCTGTGCTCTAGCAGGTACCTTGTGAAAGTGCTGTCTTTGTGTAAACCCCTCCCAGTCCCAAAGGCACACGTGCAACCATCTGATCTGTGTGTTGGGAGCTCCCCAGTCGGCCCAGAGAACACCTTTCCTCCTTGCTCGGCACCCGCCACTGTAGGCAGCGGATAAAGTCTTGGTAATGACTCAATGCATCTGAAGAGCAAATTTGACTTCGCAATATGAAACATAAACTGCTGCAAGACCTCAGCCCGCGTAGAAGATCTAGCTTAACCCAAACTATGCCATGGGACTATGCGGACACTATTAAAAAGGAGATGCTTGTTGTCTACGGTAATGTATGTTGTTTTATGAAGTATTCTTCCCAATTTGGAGGGGCAAGGTAGAGATCCAAGACTGAAGGACAGAACAGTCGACAGCTACAGGTGCAAAGCTCCAGCTGGAAAAAAAGCAATGCTACACAGGTTGGAGAAATGGGCCTTGTGGCGTGCTCCATGCAGCCTCTTTCACCCCTGTGTGATCCCGGTAATGTTGCCCTGGCGCTGACTGCTGCTGTAAGGCTACACAGTTTAAGCTGCAGGAGCCTGGAGTTCTTCCTTAGTGTTATGTATTGGAATTGCTTTTTCTGCATGGTTTTCTCTCTCTTCTAAATGGGCGCTTAATAACTGCTTGTCTTGAACTGGTGTCCTGGAAAAAAACTGAGTTTCGCCACCCACGTATACACACCCTGCTATATTACCACCTGATGCAGGGTGTGCATTTAATTGCTCTTTATTGAAGCTGGTGTTAGTCCTGTCTAGTCGCTTGGTGTTAATTCTCTCATCTTGTGGCCCTGAATTAGACAGGTAGGTTCCCATCCGCTAGGAAATAGCCTGCTGTGGATAAGCGTCTTGAAAACGGGCTCATCTGAGTTTCTCATGTGAAAGCCTATTTCAAGTGCGGGTAGTGTATCTCACCAACTCAGTTAGACTGAGTTATTCACCATCGTCACTTGGTAAAGTGAGAGGTATTCAGAAAGTTGTTTTCAAACGCTCGGCTTCTTAAAGAGAAGGGATTGACTTGCATGTGCTTTGTCTGGGGGCTTGCCTGTCTGCCCTTCTAGTGCCTCATGAACCTACTAGCCAAGAGTAACAATGCTGGAGGAAGGAATGACATTTCAGAGAGAGTAATTTTTTATTTTTTTTAACACTTTCATGTGGGCAGTAGAGGGGAGAGCAGAGTTAACGGCCTCAGAGTTAATTGAGGAAGGATCTGCAGAGCTCAGATGCTCTTTTTGTTTGGCAGCGGGCAGCCAGCAAACCTGCCAGGGCTTGTGGCTGGATTAGCCACAGCACAGCCCAGGCGAGCAAATCAGGGCGACAGAGGACACAAATCTGGAGGAAACTGGAGGTTCGTTAGTTCTGCTGCTCCTGGAACAGCTTATTTGGCTTCTAATTTTCATCCCCCTACCAAAGTCGGTGGGTGATTGAGGACTGTGAATATGTCAGGCTGTACCAGCTCAGTTTCTGGTGCGTGTTGAAGAGTTCCCTTTGGAGGAGTTTGGGGCACCAGCTATAATTGCAGTGGAGGGGCGAGGCACAGCCCGTCGTGTGAAGGAGGCTGGCATACAGTTGGGCTAAAGAAGCCTCCTGCAGAATTTTTGGATGTAGCCTGAATTGTCTGACACCGATTTCCCTTTGCCTATGGCAGGAGGCCTGAGCCTCCTTTTGCCAATGCCTGCTGCACATGCCATGCCTTAGCTGGAGAGGGGATACCAAGGGTGAGGGCCAGAAGAGGCTGGGAGGGGTGGGATACCGCACAGGAGCAGACCAGGAAAGCAGAGTGTCTTGCTCAACCACACTTGTCTCTTCCCCAGAATGTATGAACTCTGAGCTGCTGGAAGAGCTGATGTCGTCCGAAGGTGAGTCTTTCAGCCTCCCCATCACGACCTGGCCTTTCCAGTGGAGGAAGGCTTTTTTTTGTGTGTGTGACTTTACCCAGTCTTGCTCGTCCTCATCTTTCCCGGCCTCTGGACACAGACCCTGTTCTCACTGTCCTGCCAGTCCTGTTCAGAGAGGCGTGAGGTCTGGGAGAGCCTGTCTCTTCCCTATCGCAAGGCTGATCTGAAGCAAGCTCAAAAACTATTACCAGCCTCCTCGTGGCTCCGCAGCTCAGCGCCCACTGGCAGTTTTGGGCTCGGTGTGGAAGTGCTGAGTTTTGTAACCATGGGCTTCTCTTTCCCCAGTGTTTGCTCCCTTGCTCCGCCTCTCCCCTCCACCTGGAGATCACGACTACATCTATAACCTGGATGAGAGTGAAGGCGTCTGTGACCTCTTTGACGTGCCTGTCCTCAACCTCTGACTTCTCAGTGCAGCTGCGAGCCTCGCAAACACAGACCGTTTTGTAACTCTTTGGAAAGTGTCTATTTTTGGATTCCTTTTGTGTTAGAGCTCAATGAGCGAGCGATTCAGAGATGCTCTCCTATGGACTCAGAACCAAGAGATGTGGACTTGCAGGCCGGGAGCCTCCCCGTAGCTTCTTCCTCTTCCTCTGTTGCACGTGCAACTCGCCCTGCCTCATCTCTCTCTCCACTGGATCCTGGGCCTCACTTCAAAGGGTCTGTGTTTTGAGTGTTCCCAGTTCACCCGCAGAGTTTGTCCATGTGCCTCTCTGAGCTTCCTCAAATCTGCATGCCTTGGTTTTTCCTGCACTCCTAGAGGCACTTTGCACCTCCTAGGTACCAGCTGCTACAAGGAGCCCTCAATATCATGGTCGGTTCGCAAGCCCGGAGGTAGTTAGCTAGATGTTTCAATGCAAGCAGTTCAGATTGGGGCAGTTATATCTCTGAATGACAATGGGGTGGGGGGTGGGGGGGAAATATGGCACCAAAGTGTCCATTTCTTCCAGTGACCCCAGACCAAGCTGGTATGTTTTACAAGAAAAAGCACTTTTTTTTAGCCAGCTGTGCCTCCTAGTGGGACTTGGGAATCGAGCATTCCTAGTAGGACCCAGGAGCTGTCTTTCCCTGCTTGTGCATCGGCAGGGATGCTGGTTCTGCGTTCACCACTCTGTTGGTGTGTGAGCCCAGGGGCTCCAGCTCCTTGTACAGCAGCTGTGCTGTTTCTACAGGGCTAAAGAATAGGTGCCAGTATGGGGTTTTTTTTTAATTTGTATTTGTTTTTTGCCTGAGTGAAGAGATGTTAGAAAGGATAAGACTGCTCCAGCTGGTGCCTGTAAGGTACTCCAGGTACATCAGAGCCTGCTCATATTTGCAAGTAAGCTGTCTTCTCCAACCATTGCACTTGAGCCTTCAACTGTCTGAAAGGCGACCAAGCAGTAACAATTCAGTAGTAGTTTGCCGTGACAAGTTATGTAGGTGGTGTCGAAATAGTGCTTTTCTCCCCCCTTTTTCTCTCATAGCGTCTGCTCAGGATCAGTCTTTTGTGTATTTGAATTTGCTTCTCTCGGTGTCCATACCCATGCTCCCAATCCTGATCCTGTGGGCAGGTCGCTACCCAGCGTGATGCTTTCTCTGCATCATTTTTCCACAAGATTTTCTTCATTGCTTTGTAATGGAAGGTCTGCTGTTAGGTTCGTTATGGTGATCAGGTGGTACCAGTCTGGGACCCTGGTGCATTTTAGTTGGAGTAAAAACGCCCTGATGGATTTGTGCTGTATTTTGCAAGCCCGAACTTTGGTTTTCGGTCAGATCCTGTATTTGAGTGTCTTCAGTTTTTGCACATCCTCCTGCCAACGTGGTGATGGCAGTTGTCCTGCCTTTCCTGCTCCGCAAGCTGCCAAAGAGGGGGCCAGGCCAGGAGCGTGGCTGGCTGGAGCAGAGAGGTGGCTTGCAGCCATCCACATAACCAGCTGATGTTTGAGTCCTCCACTTAACTGCTCAACGCCTGCGACGCACGCAACCCGCTGGAACACCGGCAATAAGGCATGTAAAATCTTCAATTCTTGGAGCCCACAGAGGTGGGAAGTCCCGCATCCCCGAGGTGGCTCCTCGGGCCATCCTGTTCTGTGCAGGACTCCTCCAGAAGAGCTGCTCCTCTCCGCAGCCCCGAAGCACTGGCATCTTCTTTGGGACAAACATGGAGAAGTCAGGAGGAACACGGGGACGCTCTCTAGTTTGGCAGCGGGCACCTGCTGGTGGCGAGGGACCCTGCGGGGGGTGAACTTCCAGCCCGCATGCAGCCAGTCCCTCCACCATCCCTCCTTGGCATGGAAGCTGACCCAGCACCCTCGGTCCTGTGCGCGCGTTAGCTAGGCTCCGTGGCTTTGGTGTAGCTTGAGCTCCCTGTGTACTGCCTGGCCCTCGCCCTCCTTCCAAGTGTTCGTGATCACCACCGGTTAGACAACCTTTGGAAAAGGATACCTAGAGAAAAACCTTACAGTCACAAATGAACTTTTGATTCATATATAAAGATTATTTTTATACTTTTTTTGCAAGGAAAGAAAATTGCCTGTAATATTTGTACAGTGTTCTTTGATGTGAATAAACAAAAAACTTTCCAGAGTTTCCTGCCCCGGCCTGCGCCTCCCCTCTGCCAAGCCTGGTGGGACGGGGTGTCCCCAAAAAGCAGGGTGCTGGCCGTCCCCCTC